GTTAGGAACTGAGACGCCCGTATCGGAGACGCTATCGCCCTGCAGCGGAACATGCAAATGACGGCAAGAGAATAGGCGCTCACTCCCATGGTGACATAAGTCGTGAAACGTAACATCTTACATAACACGTCCCCAATCATAAGGCGCCATTTTGAGATGGCGACAGCGCTCTGCAGCGGAACACAAAACAACAAGAACAGTAAGTCAGCGACGGCAAGGTTCAGAAACAACATGTTGGGGCAGGTCTTCATTTTCTTGTTGTTTAATATAACGTATATCACTAAACTATTCCCGGATATCCCAACGACGAGAACAAGGCCGTATATCACTGGTAATAAAATCGATGATATTTCCCTCAAATCCATCATAAACTTCATTAGGCCATCATCACCATAACCCCACACTGTGCCACTTTCATTCATGTGGCAGCCCGAGCCCTCCACTGCTCCGCCATCCAATACCGCATAAGTGACATTCCCGCTATAGTCACCATTGAATGGCATCTTTGCTGAAGAAAGATTCAATTGGTAGCAGTCCTCTTCCATTATTTCTTCTAGTTACCGAACAGGTGGGTTTCTCATTTGAATTATTTGTCTGAAGATCTTAAAACATTATTTACTATTGTGCAAAACCACAGCGCAAATTTACACAGCCTTTGTCTGTTGTTGCTTCTTTCCCTATGGCTTACCGATGTTTAGAGACCTGTTATCCCTGATTCAGCCGTAAGCATGTTCAGTTGGAAAGTGAAAATGACATGTATTTCTCATTCCGCAACATGTTGTATCTTCGCCCTAACACTAGTTGATCAGTTTAATACAAATTAAGACTGAGTGGGCACATTTTCCAACAGAAGAGATTAACAGCGGCCCATGGTTTATATCTGAAGTGTTTTCCGCCAGCTCTAGAGGCCGTTTAAAGTCTGAAACGCTTCTTACAGTGTTGTCATCACTTAGAACACGCGTCTGCGCCTACGGTTCTTGCCGAAAGGCTTAAATGTTGCGTATGACGTCAAAATAACGCTTGAATCTCCTGGGAGTGACCGTGTATAACGATGCAGACTTCAACAAGGTGCGAGTGAAATTACATTCTTAGAAATATAATATCATTCTTTTAGATGTTATTTCCGATAAGAGAACATCTGATCCGGTGATTTTGCCACCAAAGCACCTTATGCGCAAGACTTAAAGATTTCCCCTTCAAATCAAAAGTTTTACCGCGTGTATTATTTGTTTTTCAGCAGTCATGTTAGACGAGCAACAAATATTCTTGTGTGGGTGAGAGCTATGACTGTTGTTTTTTCCGATAAGAGCGGATTTCTTTCATTACATAAACACAGGAAACTCTGCCACTATGGATGGTTGTGTGCCTTATGACCTGCGTAAAAATGGGCGTTTGAAGTAGTTTTCAAATAATGAATTTTTGCAGCTTTATGATTAAAATTGCCCTGGACCTAGCAGATAAAATTAATTTGATATATTGAAATAGACAGAAGCATATATCTTGCAAAGAGGTCAATATTATTAGTAAGCACACAATAAAATGAATGTTGAGGACATACAGTGCGCGTTAGACTGCCATATACAGCAAAACAATTTATTTCAATGTTTTTTATTGAATTACGATGGCATATCCTATCCAATGCTTTTGAGGCAATTGCGAGCTTTAAACACGCTTTCGAGTTGCAATGTTGTTGTACCGTTAGGGGTGAAACTCACCATTTCTGCTGCGAGAACTCTAAATACGGATCGCCATTGTATGCAGTCATTGTGGCCAGTGATTTCCATGCACAAATTGCAAAGGCGTTTCCGTGGGTTCTTTTTTATTTGCATATAGATCCCATGGTTATCAGTAGCGATGAAAATTATCGCTTTAGGAAAATTCACTTCAGAGGGAGAATTAACGGCAGAAAAAAATTGCCTCGCACCTTCTATTCTTTATCTATAATGATAATATGTCTAGTGAAATTTCTAAAAATTGCTGTCAATTTTCCTCCTCCCCATTGTGTCAAATGTCTCGTCGTGTCATTTAACGTGTCACTAGATATAATATAGACAAAATTCATGTACAATGTTAGTGTACGATGAAAAAATGGTTAAAATAGCACGATATACAAATGAAGATATTAGGCTCTTTTCTACCAATTATATATTCTGGAAATGTTTGTCAGCAATTTATGATGAACTGAAACTTATTCATCCTGGAACAAATGCACAAAGGTTTTATTTTAATTATGCATCTGGAACTTCTTCCGATTACGTTGCGTTTCAGAAAGTATCGCTTACCTCGTTTTTCTGTCTTTCTACAAAACACCCAGACCCATTAATTATACTGTATCTGGTAGTCAAAAAAATTTAAAAAACGACCTAGATGTCTCACTTTAATAACTCATCAACCATACAAGACGTTTCAACGATTTTCAGTAAAAACTACTCCATGATATTGCTTCTGTTTCGAGTGTACTAGTATGTTCGTAAAATCCCTACAGCGATCAATTCAAAACCCATAGTCCAAAAACCAGTTCCATCCGCAATCTCTGTGAAAAGCTGATTAGTTTTTATGATTATCTTCTGCAGTCTTGCATCCTGCTGTCAGTGTCTTGTCCATTGTAATACATGTATCTGTACATGATTTGGCCTCCGGTAAAAATGCACAGTATTCCTCCAGACTTCTGAAATATGGTCAGATCATAACGCCCTTGTTGAGACTAGCGTCGCTGCACTTTCAAGCCTGGAAATGCTGTGACTTTGATAAACAAACATTCAAGTTTTATTTATGAATTAGCATGCGTTTTTGTTTTGTTTTTGTTTTTTTTCAATTTTTCCTGTTGCTAATTTATAAATATTGTGAAAGCTTCGTACTCCTTGCTTGATCTCCACAGGAAGAAAAAAATTGTAACGATTAAGTTGCGTCTGTTATTAATTAAAGGGTATTAAAGTGTTATATGATATACATGTAATGTTTCTAAAAAGTAAAGCAATATTAGGTCCAATAGCAATGGGTCAAATAGGCAAGTACACAATTTGTTTTTGGTATTGATTTCATCCTCTTTAATTCATAAGTATTTGTAAAGATTTGTATAGTTTTTGTAAAGTTGTTATGGCTAGAGTAAAGAGCTTGTAAAATGTAACTTGTACACGTTTTAGTGCTCAATAAAGATTATATTATTAATTGTCTTTTTACTAATTAAAACATGTCTGAAAACAGCAGTCAATACTAAATGCCATGCCTTGACATCACGAGCACTATATACCAATTTACTTCCGGATATTAGTGATGATATCATTTTAATTCAATTTTGTAATAGATATTACGATTAAATTCGTGAAATGTTCATGACAGTATCACAGGTTGAGGCGTCACTGGTGTCCCGTGTGGTAACAAGTGTAAAAACATTGTATGAAGAACTTTTGATATTTTAGTTACATTTAACTGTAAGTTACGTTCAACATGTATACTACCAGTAGATCTACCATATTATCATTTCATTCACACCTCACACAGAGTTTTTATCATTTTCTGTCTTGCCTCTGAGCATTATCTGCGGCTATCTACATGTAGTTCTCGGAAATTTAAGTGGAAAGTTAATTTCCCTCGCGGTGGCCATTACGTCTGCCCCGCTATCTGGACATGCCATTCCATCTCTCTTATTGAACTCTGGGTCACAAATTCTTTCTTCCCTCAAGAGAAAATGAGAGAATACTAATTGGAATAAGGAAAGACTAAATTGATATACAAGTAGTTGGGAAAATATAAGATGATATCTTACACCATCGGGTACACTTAACAATAATGGAAACTTGGGAATGGAAAGTAGGCTGCCAGCTTGTGATTTGTGGGAGGTGGAAGGAATTAGAGCAAAATTATGATGAGAGAGTAAGATGGGCATAACTTAATACGCATACACCCTACGCTGGTGAAACCGTAATTTTGCTTTGTAGCTATTATTTTGAAATTTGTCTTTAAATATTTCCTGAAGAATAAAGTTGTGTGCTTGTCAGTTGCGTTTCAGGAAGGTGATTAATTTTAAGCCACTTGGATTTTATATCCCGAAGATAAAAGATTAACATATTAGATATTCAGTGAATGTTTCACAGTCAACTTTGTCTTAAAATAATCAGACATTGAACAATGTAGTCCACTCATTCATATGATATCTCAATATTCTGCTAAATTGATGGAGGAAATAGTGATAACTAATGTCACAAACAACAACAACAGCAACAATAGAACGATATTTATTTGCAAACTGTAATTGCTTTAGTGGAATAAGAAAATATAAGCCATCATGTCTTTCCTTTGGTGACTTCAGCCGCTTACGCACGAATACCAGACTATATCAAGCGTGCTGTCAGTGCTGTGTCACTGCCCTTACTACCATGATAATTCTATCTACTGTACTTTGCCACCGATACGATTAAGTTTTTTCTTGTATTTAATCCCCAGCGTCACTTAATGACCATGTTGCTCGCGAAACCACTTTAAAGATGACCATAAACTCTCTTGGTTGAAGACCTTAAAATGTCACGAATGGCTTTCATGCAATTGTTTTGATATTATTGGTCATTCGCAAATGATTGTCGGGTAGCTTTCATCTTTCGAAGGACTCATTTCTTGATCTTTCGCGTTGAAAAGAAAAAATTTTAATAAGATTTTGCTTTTGCACTTCGTTTAACGTTTTTCATTTACTGTGTCTTGATTAAATTATCCAACTAGTTGGATTTAGTATACAGAGTGTGTGAAGACCAGAAGGCGTTCCCCAAAGCACCTGACTTTCTCCATTGTGGTAGAGATGTTTACTATGGCAGTCTATTCTCTGCTTTGCTGTAGCATCATTGATTGGTAATTGTATATTTTATGTATTCATGGATGCATAATTTGCGAGTCAAATTAGCCAGCTCGTTCTTCTTATTTTCATTTTAGGAATGCAAATGGAAAAAAACGTACGAACATACACAGACATAGAAATGGCGGCCGCTGCAAGTTATCGGTGTTTAATTCTATCAGATAAAGCTGAAATGCAATGGATTATAATATGAATAATGCAAAATTAGGGGAGTTATAATTGGTCCAATTCTTCCAGTTGAAGTCATAACAGAAATAGAGATACATGAAATATATGTACAAGAGACTTCCACTTTGTGTAACTGTATATTAGCAAATAGTGTATGTGTCAGCCATCTGCATGTTGAGAAATATATCCTAATCAGACTGTTTTAGTTAGCACACTGTCAATTGAACTGTCACGGACAATTACGCTTTAATAAAGTGTTTAATCATTATTATGTTTTTGTTGTTGTTGTTTATTTTAGATCCACTGATTTGTAGATACACTGTAATTTGGGCCTACCACTAGATCCTATGGCACGATTAAAAACGCGCAATTTCTCTTTCTTCTCATCCTTGATCAGAACAGAAGTTATAATCAGTTTTAAATTTTATTGATTTATCGCATTAACTTAGTTAAGTTATTAACTTAACACTAACTTTCACTAAGGTAGAATAACATTCAAGAGCAACAAGACGCACGAGTGTAAATATTCTCACACACTTTTATTAATTTATCCAGCGTTAACGACAGAAACACAGCTACAAAATCTGCGCATCTACATGTATATAACTGCTTTGCCCATTCGCATTTAATTAAAAACAATGTCAGATCATTGTAACTTGTAGTGAAACTCTCTGGGTGAGCACAAACGTCAATTGAGGCCAAACCACCACTTCCGCCCAGGTGACATAACAATCATTCAAACAATTTTCTGAACATGATATCCATGGTTTCGTGATAAAAATTTCTATTTTCTATCAAAACCGTAATACAAAAAGTCCTTACTAGAAAAAGATCCAACCTTCATTTCTTCTCCACTTCGATCTAGGTACTAGCCTAGGGGGTTTATTTCACATTTCTGAACAACGCAGCGATGGCGCATTATTTTTCCATAACCGTACACATACAGTAGTTATAGAATATCTGAAATTCCTTAATCCATCCTTCTTGAAATTCTTTACTAAATCTCCGATAACTTATACAAATTAAAGCAAGGAATAATCCTATCATTCTAAAATGGAAAAAATGAACAAGTTTAGATATTTCTTTTCTTCACAATAGGAGAAAAGGACGTCTAATCTGATATAGTGTTTCACTCTCTTGACATTGGAAAGCAGTGGATGTTTCTATTTTCTATTATGTCTGGAAATGTGTCGTTTTTTATTTTTGTATATCATAGAAAAATTGAAAAAAAAACGAAGAAATGAAAATGAAAAACGAAAATCAAGGTTGGTTTTTCAATTCATTTTGACCATTCATGACGAAATAGAAATCACCTTCCCCCCATACAATGCTTGGAGGGTCCGTAAAACCTGTTAAAATCAGATTTTTTTCTTCAGCATTAAATTTTCTATAGTCAAAAGATTATCGCAGGATGGGGCACATGTAGTAATAAGCAGTCGAAAGCAGAAAATGTGGATAAAGCACTTGCTCTTTTGAAGAAAGATGGTTTCATTGTCAGTGGAATGGTATGCCATGTGGCAAAAAGGAAGACAGAGAAAGCTCATTTCTGAGTATAGTATCTGATATATGTTTGTGAGAGTAATCAGTATTTTTATTTGACATTGAGCATTTACAATCATTATGTCATACTTGTACAGCAATTGGATTTGTACCTGGATAATATTAATCGTAAAAAAAGAAAGATATTTGATTCGTACGAAAGTATTGCAGGCAACGCTTAATGACAGCCTTGCTGCTTAATAAATAAGCACTACTGGTTTATGATATGAGCCATCGGTGTGTTACTTAGTAGGATTAAAGAAGAAATCAAGAAAATATTATCAGCATTTGCCGCAGGACATCACGTCTAATCATAAGATAAGAGTTTATTCAGCCATTGATATATAAATTAAATTCACATAAAACGGAAACTGGATTGCTATTCTGGTAAAGTGTATAAAGTATAAGATAACAATGCAGTTTCTAAAATTAAGTTGGTAAAAATGAGATTTTTGTTGTTAAAATGAGAGACAGCAGCTGGGTAAAAACTCTTTAAAAACTCAGTCTCGGCCAAAAAAAAAAAAAAAAAAAAAAAAAAAAATATATATATATATATATATATATATATATATATATATATATATATATATATATATACACTCTTGCCCAAAATGGTTGGTACACGGAATTTTGGGATGCATATCGCCCTGTTTCTTTCATTATTATTGATATTACCAAATTAATACTGTTTATATTGTTAAATATGTGAAGCTGGAGGATTGGTTAAGTCAAGGAGAAACAACCAATGCAAGTGTGAAAAAAGCGTTAATTTATTTAGGTTTTTTTTTCTCATGGCCCCAAAAAAGTACTTTTTTTTACATAACAGTACCAAGTGAAAAATTAAACATAAATTTTTACTGTGATTGACAATTAATATGAAATTAGGGAAAATTGTCAAGAAACATCTTCAGAGTTCATCATTAATCTCAATAGCGGGTATGCCCACCCCGAGCTTGGATAATGGCCGCCAAACGGCGTGGCATACTGTGAACTAGAGTCACAACTCTTTGGAGAGAAATTCTGGTCCATTCATCCTGAAGGGCATCTCGCAATTCATCTAGATTTGCACGGGGAGGGTTTCTCCTCTGAATAGCACGACCAAGTTCGTCCCACATGTGCTCAATTGGGTTTGCATCTGGGCTTATTGCTGGCTGTGGCATCAGCTGAATGTTGTTTTGTCGGATAAAGTCTGCAATTAAGCGGGCTGCGTGTTGAGTTGCATTGTCATGTTGCAATTTAAAATTGTCTCTGTATATCCCTCTTGCGAACGGTTCCAGGTTCTGCTGGAGAATGTCTCTGTATCTGGCAGCGTTAAGGTTTTCATCCAGAGGAACCAATGGGCAAATGCCATTGCTGCAAATGGCACCCCAAACATGTACAGAACCACCTCCTCCAGCTATTGTTTCCTGGATATTTTCAGTAAACAGCCTCCCCCCAGGGAGCCTACGCACTCTCATAGCTGGAGGAGGTGGTTCTGTACAAATTTTGGGGTGCCATTTGCAGCAACGGCATTTGCCCATTGCTTCCTCTGGATGAAAACCTTAACGCTGCCAGATACAGAGACATTCTCCAGGAGAACCTTTAGCCATTCGCAAGAGGGATATACAGAGACAATTTTAGATTGCAACATGACAATGCAATTCAACACACAGCCCGCTTAATTGCAGACTTTATTCGACAAAACAACATTCAGCTGATGCCACAGCCAGCAAGAAGCCCAGATGCAAACCCAATTGAGCACATGTGGGACGAATTTGGTCGTGCTATTCAGAGGAGAAACCCTCCCCCTGCAAATCTAGATGAATTGCGAGATGCCCTTCAATATGAATGGACCAGAATTCCTCTCCAAAGAGCTGTCACTCTAGTTCACAGTATGCCACGCCGTTTGGCGGCCATTAACCAAGCTCGGGGTGGGCATACCCGCTATTGAGATTAATAATGAACTCTGAAGATGTTTCTTGACAATTTCCCCTAATTTCATATTAATTGTCACTCACAGTATAAATTTATGTTTAATTTTTTCACTTGGTACTGTTATGTAAAAAAAAGTACTTTTTTGGGGCCATGAGAAAAAAAAAACTAAATAAATTAAAGCTTATGGGGCTATAAGTCAGCTGGCCCAGTGGAATATGCTACCAATTGAAGTCCGCTCAATTAAATCAAGTAATAATTTTAAAAAGGATTTAAAACACTTCTTTTTGTTATTTTTTTATTATCTGAATTGTTTTGTGTGAGAATTAAGATGTTTTTATCTGAATTCTAAATTTATTTGCATAATTTTTAATATCTTTGTCATTGTGTTCGTAAGTATTGTCTTTATGTAAAGTCCACTGAACATTTTAACGGAATTTATTATTATTATTATTATTTAGTCAGGACAATGAATTTCTGTCTCGCGGAACGAAATTCAAAGAACTAAACACTGTTTTCACAGAACCTGTGTAAACAGTGTTTGGAGCGGCAGGAAATCATAAAGTTGACATTCAGCTTCAAAAAAGAAGTCTAGTTTAATCGGGGATTTGTGCAACTTTACTTTGCTTGCTCTAAGCATGGAAAGTATATCTGCAACCAAATGATGATGATTATATGTTTAATATTTTTACATATTTTTACATATATAAGTAGTTTAGATTTAAAAGTACTTAAAGTAAAGTTAGTTTAGATATAAAAGTTCAATTTTTGCTATCTGTATTTGGTACATTTTAATTTAATCAAACGTATAAATGTATACCACTCAGTACTGTAAAAGGTATGACCTCATGCATAGATGACCAAAGCCTTACGTGGTGGGAAATTAGAAGGACGAAGGGTGTAGGAAAAACAACTAATTTTCTTTAAGAATATTTCGAACCGCTTGGTTCATAATTGCATTTTTGGAATAGGAGTATTCATTGAGGGCAACTTTGAAGGTTCAAAATCTTGGGTAGTTAAGCTTTAAATCGACAGAGATGATGCCAAGCATCGGTATTCTGTGAAATCGCATTGAAAAACTAGATGCATATGTCAGTATCCGAGAGTGATTGCATCTTTGCATATCAGGTATAGGTTATATACTTATGGTGCATAATTGTAGTGAAGTGGAGATGTTTATTTAATCACTGTAATACTTTGTGTTGTTGATATCAGATGGCACTGACCAAGTGTATCATTGAAAAAAATGGAACGTAACAAATGGGTTAGGATATGAATAAAAACACTTTGATATGACTCTATTATAACTGTACTGAAATGTGCCGGTCTTTGACGGCATAAACAAATCTCTTTGTTGCTCCTTGCGCAAGAAGGAAGATTAGAAAACATTTATATTAAGCATATAAACATTAAGCAATGCAGCTTATAATTGCAAGTCAGGACAAAAAAATTCTGTCTGGCAGAGCGATTTTCAAAGAATGAAATTGGACATTACGTTTGAATACACTGTTTTTGGCGGAAAGAAACTGTAAAGTTGACATTTGAACTC